AGCAGCCTGGGATGTCTGGTGAGTGGCTTGTTGCACAGCCTGTGCTGCCGCATCGGCCACCATCCTCTTCACTTCTTCTCTCGTCATGGCCACTACTTGCTGAGCAGGGGGTTGGGGTGCTCCTCCTGTTGGCGGCATCATGGCCTGCGCTGTTGGCCCTACCTGCTGCGTCACGACTGGACCCGCTTGCAACAGAGTGAGGACTGCCGCTGATACCACCTCACGAGTTTCGTGCTCTCTGCTCGTGCCTGCTCCTCCACCCAAGATCGTTGTACCCTGGGGCATCGGCGTCGGGGTCACCGATGTTTGCGAGGGTCCGGAGAATCCAGGTGGAGGTCCTGCTCCCATCGGTCTTGTCGTCGTCCACGCCTCATCAAATGAAGACTGCAAATTCACTCGAGGAACTCCGTCCGCCATAGCTGAGCTCAGAACACAACTTTTCGAACAAGAGTCCCACAGACGGCGCCAATAATACAAGTCTCGCACCCTGACCAGCTGGAATTCGCCTTAAGCTTGCTTTCCTCGCCAGTTGAACGCGGAACCTGCACGAAACTCCCACACCGGAGGTGTTTTCCGGTGAAGAGCCCCAACGCTCAAGTCAGATCTTGAGAGATAATATGAGTGTATGAAAAAGTATAAGAGTGTATGAGATCGTACTGAAAATGAGGATTCTCGCCCTTATTTATAAGGGCGAGTTACCTGAACTGCACGCGCGAGCCAGGCGAGTTCGGCCAACTGTCTTCTGCTCGTCCGTACGGCCGCGCGCCTCCACTATCTTTAGTGTCAGGAGTCGCGTCCTCTTTGTCAGAGAATGTCAGAGTTCGTTGCAGCTACGTAGCCACTCACAGTGCGCCACGCGTCCTTCCTTTCATGTGCTGGAGATTCCCTCGTGCACCTCTGATATTCGACCAATCTTTTGCGACCACGCCTTATCCGACCACTCATGGTGGTCCGTATATGTCGACCACGTTTGATCTCTTCTGTCTGCTCTCTGCTCCTTTGTTGCTGGTGCTTGGTCTTTCTTGACCAGGTTACTCGATCTTTCCTAACTCAGGTAATCCAGCGGTCCGACCTATTTTCTCCGGTTGTCCTGGCGAACCGGTCTAGCATACAATATCCCATATCAACAACAATAATGAAATAAAAAATACACAATTGGTCCCATAAGTATAAAAATACACATTTTATCCCATAAACATAAAAATACAAAAATGATGAAGATTGAATTATGCAATCTGAATGTATATATATGTATGTATTTGTTATAGTTTTTTTTATATTTATCGGTCCGGTCCGGTTAAACCGACGGTTTGCCGCAGGTAATCCGTTAACCGACCGATTATTTTGGATTTTTAAAAAAATAACCACCAAATTTTAAGGCTTTTTTAACTGACCATTTAACCAATCTGCGGTATAAATTGACGATTTATTTCGGTTAAAACCGAACCGTTAACACTCCTACTTTACATCCACTTTTTGACATTTACTTGGGACATTTTACTAGTGGACAATTGTGAGAGCAATGCCCAAATCCCGATTGGGTATTGTTGCTACTCCCGTTATCTTGTAACAGCACACTAGGTTTGATTGTATATTCGAATTGCAAATCACTGGAGAAAAAGAACTGCACGCAATTCCGCATTTTCACTTTTCTTCTATAGAAATCCGCGCTAACGCGTGCTACAAATTACAATCTCAATTTTTTATCTCTCGCCAAAATCATCTCTCTATAATCTGTACAGCGACGATCTACGCGCTATTTTTGCCCCGAACGCCGGGAAAAATGGAGGCGGCGGCGGCGTTGAAGGTGGAGGAGTTGACATCCGGAGCGAGTGGCCGTATAATTCCGGTCTTCCGGAACATCCGTCAGTCAGTCCTCTCTTACGACTCCTTCCGTAGAACTTTCCTTCTAATTTATTCCTTCTTCGTCTGGATCCTGCTCGTCCTCCCTCGCCGCCGCCGATTATCGTCAGCTGCCGCCTCACCTCCCTCGTCCCCTACAGCGGCGCCGCCATCGGTGAAGCGCCGGAATTTCGTCATCCGGAGAGACGAAGAGGACACCATGAGGCGCAGGGCCCTGGCGGAGGCGATTGAGATGGTGGTGGACGACGGCAGCGGCAGCCAGTGCACTACGTTCTTGTTTTACGGTGTAAGGCGGAATGCTCTCTTTTGCCGATCGTGGTTTCCTGTCTCCGGTGAAACCAAGTACGCTTTCTTCGATTTATGTGGTTTGATTCTTTACGTAACTGTGGACTTCAGATTAGACGATGTTGATCTTTCAATGCCTTAATTTCACTCTGTACACAAATTGCTTAGGTTAATTCGTTGGTGTTGACCTTAATCGGATTGTGATCCATAGTTAATTAAAAATTAACCTAAATCATATACAGAGTATTGATGTAGTAATAACTAATAATAAACCTGATTCCAAGCATTATATGTTGAAAGTGCTGCTTTATTGAAGCTTGGATAGGGCATGGCTGAGAATATGAAAGTTACATGGGACTCAAAAAATTGAGATTTTGGTTTGGACTTACAACCTAATGTTAGTTACAGTCATATTTCTTTCTTTGTGTTGGTGAAATTTCCATTTTCAAGGACATTGCTGCTGTATTCCTGAATCAATGGAGTTAATTTCGAAATGTACGCGCGTAACATTACTTGCATTGGTTTGTGTACTTGATGCATGTATGGGCTGATTTTTAGTGGATCATTATATGATTTTTACTTCACTTGAATGTATGTATATGTTTGTGCTGTTTTGAGTTTATCTCTTAGTTATCTACATATTTATGTTCGGCATGAGGTTTAAGTGTTGTCAGCTTGTTATATTTTCTCTTGGCATAAAGGGGTTGAGAAGATCGACTTTTTTGACATAATAATAATGGAATACTTGAAGAATTTAGCAATTTTTTTCCTCTTCTAAATTTAATGCTTTCTCATAAAATTCATATATTTCAGGGGTATTCTGATTATCATCCATGGACTTAACGAACATAGGTATGGTGTTGAATTTAGTTTTCATGCCCTTTTTTTTCTTTGTTATCTTTAATAAACCAAACCGCTTTCCACAATCTATAGTCCGTAACCCCTCCCAATCTTTGCTTTCAGTGGACGTTATGCCGAATTTGCTAAACAGTTGGTCTCCTGTGAATTTGGGGTCTATGGAATGGACTGGATAGGTAAGAACTTGTAATGGATTTCTCATCTTTAAGAATTTTTCTTTTCAGAGATTTCATAAAACTAGAATGCTTATTTTTGTTCTTTGATTTTTACCATTGAGAAAAGATGCAAGGGAATACCGCTTACATTTCATAGTGTTTAATATCACCTAATAGTTATATGTGCTGTCACATTTGTGTTGATTGTGGAATTAAAAATATATTATTGATGATGTATTGCCATACACTTGTATTGGTGAACAGTGATATACCATTTGTAACTCTAATCCTTTGTCCATTGCTAATTCATTTACAATTTGGTTAATAACTGGAATGAAATTACAGATGTGTCTTAATTTCTGCTACAATTGAAGTTATGAAGCTGATGTTATTAGTGACAAAATTTTTCGTAAATAGGCCATGGAGGAAGTGATGGATTGCACGGATATGTTCCTTCACTGGATCAAGTTGTTGCAGACACTGTAAGTTTCTTGAGTTTGTCCATGCTGCCTCTGACATCTTGTTGTGTGATTCTCTTTACTCTTTTTTCTTAATTAGCTTATATGAATGTGTTTTGTGGTCTAAATGGTACTCATTCTTCTTGAAGGCTTCATTCTTGGAAAAGGTCAAGTTAGACAACCCAGGTGTACCGTGCTTCTTGTTTGGTCATTCAACTGGAGGGGCAGTGGTTTTGAAAGTACGTTTTTGCATAGGATTCTTTTTTGCTAGGTGATTAGTTGATTGTATATCATACACGTCTCGCCATCAACCTCACTTGTTGAAATTCTGGATAAACATTAATAGGCTGCATCATATCCCCATATAGAAGAAATGTTGGAGGGGATCATATTGACGTCACCCGCTTTACGTGTCAAGCCTGCGCATCCGATTGTCGGTGTAAGTTATGAGCTCCTGGCTTTATGTTAATTCTCGAAAGACCCTCACTACCAGAATCGGGTGATTTATTCTGTTACGCATTGGGCCTCTTTTATCTTCCCTGAGAAGTTGATTATGGCTGAAACTTAAATTTGTATGGGCAATTATAGTTAAATTCATCATGGTTCTTAGAAAGGAAATTAGAAACAGTGGCAAATCTTGTGTTCTGACCTATTATTTTCAGAACTATAAAACATCCTGTTGATGTGTTAGAAATGCTCCTTAAAATCACCCGCCTCTCAGAGGTAGATTTTGATCAGGAAACAACCAACAAAAAATAAGTGTTAATTATTTAAAGAGTATCCCTGGATTCAATTTAATCACTCTCTTCTACCATTGTCAATAGGCTGTAGCACCGCTATTCTCCTTGGTAGTTCCAAGGTTCCAATTCAAAGGCGCCAACAAAAGGGGAATTCCAGTTTCTCGGGACCCAGCAGCTCTTTTTGCCAAGTACTCGGACCCTCTAGTCTACACCGGGCCCATTAGAGTTCGTACTGGACATGAGATTCTACGCATCTCCTCATACCTCATGCGCAATTTTCAGTCTATCACAGTACCATTCTTCGTCCTGCATGGGACAGCTGATAGAGTTACAGATCCATTGGCCTCTCAGGACTTGTACTATGCAGCACCTTCTAAGTATAAGGACATCAGACTCTACGAGGGCTTTCTGCACGACCTTCTTTTTGAGCCCGAGCGTGTAGATATTGCTCGGGACATCATTGACTGGATGGAAAAGCGACTGAGCACACCAAGTCATGAGAATGTCATGGGTTATTGGTGAGATGATAATAATGATGCTATCTTCTTACTGATTGTGGTGTTGAGACTCTAAGATTTTCGATGATTTTGAGCTGAAGATGGAATTCTTAGGTGCAATGTGATGACAATTGAATATGTATATAAAGGTGATGTCAACATATTTTATTTCTGATTGGGGAAACCAGAACCATGTTTAATGATTATTACTTATTAGACCCTTTTGTTATCTGCGATGTTCGTTCGTGTTCTTTACTAACCAGGAATGGATATCAGGTTGCGTTTTGTTTGTGGTACAAGCAAATGCCTTACCAAGCAGTCTTCTAGTGATAGAATGCATGAAATGAATAGGTCTCAATTGAAGCATAATTTTAATGTCCATAGTCCATACCCTGAGTTGGTTTTCTTTCTTGGTTCCTTTTACTGACATAAGTGAATTGGATCTTAAAGAAAAAATAAAAGCCACATATTAAGGTGTATAACCCACACCATTTTTTTAGGTGTATTCCAATTGTGGTGGTATCAAATTCACTAAAAAGTATATTACTGGAGATTTACAACATATGATGTGTATCCCCCAACTAAAGAAGGTGCATGAGACACCAGCAACTTCTTAGCTCTCAGTTTCTACATGTTTTCTTCTTCAGATTTTCTTTCTGTATATACTATGTACCCTCACAGCCTTTCAAAATTAGCTCTTTCTTTGCACGTTCCGCTTCTTGTGCCTTCCTCTTCGCCTCTTCCTTTCGTTTTCGTTTTTTCATCTACATATATGCCTTTCATGTGTCAAATTTCAAATTTCGATTCAACTTTGCTATGAGGTGGAGACTGAAGCCTTAGAAGTGGGAAGTGACGATAATAAATTATCATATTTGAAAGATCTGATGTCTCTTAACCTCGTATTAAGTTTTATAGAGCGCATGGACCGCTTGAATCACTACCAACATAAAAACTAGGAGAGCAGTTGATTTATCATTCCAGCTACCTCATGAACATTCTTTTAATTGTTTTCGACTCTCGAGTAAAATTACGTTTTCATTTCTAATGAGCTGAAGTTGTTGAACCATAGCGTGCGCATTTCGCTCGTGAGACTCCTTGACCACAGCTCTCCTATTTTCACAGGCCATTTTTGAAAAGGTATGTCCTTGGGCTTTGATGAAAATGGCAGAAACTGCTGTAGTAGTGAGTTGGGGATTACCAAAGGATTGAACTTCCTTGGCTTCCTTTCCACTGGCTGAAACACAAAATGAAAACATAGAAAAGGTTATACAGATTAAACCAAATTTATTCATCAAGTTTCTCTCCTAAATTTTAGAAAGTTCCATACCTGCATGTATCCAACCAACATTTTCCTCGCAGTATTGGATGACACGGGTCAAAATCGTTGACCATTTCATAAGGCACATCACGGACTTCAACTCTAAGATACATCCCGACTCCTATTACTACCTACCGCTCTCTCGGATGAAAATTTTTCTCTCATAATTTCAGTTTTTTTTTTTTTAAATTCTCTTATAAACTTCATCAAGGATCTTGAATAAATAATTTGGTGTATACGAAATACTTACTTGATGCGGAAGACGACAAAATTAGTGATCTTGATCTTGATGATCACAAGAGGCTTGATCGATT